AAATATAAAATTTCATTATATATAATGTCTGTGGGTTTTTTTCCACTCTGTGCGTTCAAAAATAGTTTGCATTTTTCTGTGCTTACATTGAGCATGAGCTAAATAATTTTGTTAATGCCATGAGCTAGTTGAGTTAACATGCTGCGTGACCTAGTACTCTAGGGTCTGGTACCCCTCATTAAAGTCTGATTGAAAGGTCAGTAGCATTAGGATCTGTCTTCAAATGAAGTCTTGGCCTTACTGAAGTCAAGGGAAGTTTTACTGTTTCTGTGAGAGAGCTCAGATTTCACTGGTGAAATTATTACCTAATTTACTTAGGCAGAGAGCAGAATTTCTACCAAAAATATTCTTGCTCTGTCCTTTATTCTAAGCAACTGAATATTTTTTAAAATGGATCTTTAATCATTCTATTTCACTGTAATTTAAAATTTGCTGGATTTTGTGCAAATAATAATTAAAAAACTCTTAATATAGAAAGTCTGTTACAGTAAATTGCATGGCAGACTTCAGTGTTGTTCCTTCTCTGCTACAAACCTTCAGTGTTGTTCCTTCTCTGCTACAAACCATAAATTGTAGGTTTGTAGATAGTAACTCTAGGAGACAGATAACTTACATTTTCATATACCAATTTTAGAAAAGTGCAAGGGAGAGGTGGTCTTGAAATTCTGAGGTTGTATAATGATGCATAAAACACCAGAAGATACCCACAGGTCAGAAAAATAAAACACCTTGCTCATTTAATATGTTTGTAGACAAGGGATTTGCTAAATTTACTCTGCAACTTATCACACTAAATTGCAGAGTAGATTTTGAGAGTAAATTGATGAGAAATGAAAGAGATACTGGCAATGAGCTTAAGGCTGGCTGTTACGGAAATTTTGAGATACTTATTTCTTTTTATCTTTCATAGTACTTCTTGATTGCCAACTTCTCTTCAATGTTCTCAAGTTTTAGGGAAGAATTCTATTATGATGACACTGCTGGATACTTTGTTCTTGGAGGTAGTGGATATGTAAATGGTATTGAAGCATTCTTTGGACCTGTGAAATACTATCGTCTCAATGTGTTTGAAACAGAGCAGGTAAATGAAAGCAGTATTTGGAAGTGTTTAAATGTTAGCAGCCAGCTATGGCTGTGCTTTTTATTTTATTTTTTTCTTAACTGAAGCTCTTACAAAGTGATAAACTTGCTATGAATCATAACAGTACTTTGGAAAATATAACTAAAATGTGATTATTTTCTGTTGAAATCTCAGAATGTTAGTTACCACTTGAAATGCTAAAAGGTAAGACTTTGTGAAGGTTGTAAAACAATGTTCATAAATCTATATTTAAATAAGGACTTCTTAGCAGTATTGTTTTGTTTCCCAGAGTTTTTAGTGATACAATACTGAACACGCTTGATAAAATTATGGTTTTGTTGAAATTGGTGAAGGTCACATAAGCTTAATAAATTTTGGAAGTTCATCCATGATTTCTTGGATTATGCTCAATGTTTAAAGTCATAGTCTATTGTGGTCAGCATCAGGTTGCCTGGCACATTAATATGATGTGCTAGGTAAGCTGATTGGAGTAAACAATCTGTTTCCTTTTGGTTTTTGCCTGTAACACTTCTTTCTAGCAAAGCATAGACAACAACAGATACTATAGATGCTATTTTTTCATCATTTGCCTTTTTATAGATTTCTAACCCTCTTCATGACAAAGAAACAATGGAACAAATTGAACTTTACTACGAGAGATGTATGGACATTCAAGAAATAGTTTATGAGTACAGACATACTGTAAAGCAGGGTGAAAAATTACAAAGAAATTGTAAGTCTTGATATATGACATATGAATTTTAAATTGTCATCTCTGGAGACCTGTTTTCTTTCCTTTTACCAGAATCTGGACAACGATCATCAAAAGTAAACTTAAATTCAACCATAACAAGAAAAAAGGCAATTTGAAGAGTTTAGGCCTGTTACTAGTAGCTAAAGCTGCGATTTTGTTCCTGCAGATACTTTTATGCCATGGAATAGAAACTTAAATTGTGTTCTTGATATTTCTTCTCTAACAAGACAGGTGCATAAAGGGACAAAGAAACACTTTCAAGCTTTCATGTAAGCTGTTCAATTGCCCCTCTTCAGTTTCATTTCCACGTGACCTTAAAGGCACATGTATTTCAAGCCCTTTCCCCAAGATGGCTGGGTTTTGCTAAAATGTCTCTGCCACAGTTGCCTGATGTGGAGTAATTGACAGGTTTATACCAAAGCAACCACTTTAGTGAAAGAAGAATAACATAGCTTAAATGTGTGCTGAAAACTAGCTTGTATTTCCAATTACAATTTGATTGCATATATTGCGACTAGAGCATGGAAGAGAGTAGAAGAAATACATATTTGTAAGTGGCCTGTGCTAGCTGTATGAGTTTTCAGCAATATATTATCTTGTCCATAAATTTTTAGTTTACCCTAGAAACATCTTTTTTTTTTCTACCAGAAGCTTGTTTTAAAGATCAGCCAAGTCAGCTTTCATGTCTTAAATATGTTGTTTTCTCTAGGTTACTATGAAAACTATTATTTGAAGCTGATTCATAAATATGGTGAAAAATCCAAATGTGATGCCTTCATGTGGGGAAAAGAGCTCAGGGAAAAGTACCACACTTTGTTCAAACTGTTAAAAGAGACAGATTTCAGCGCTCCAGATGGTAATCATATTTTATTTTACTGTTTTTAAAAGACTCCACGATCTGTGTCATGTAAGTTAGTATGCTCCAACTTCATTTCATGTTTTATACAGTTTTTGTCATATCAGCTGAGTAATGGAGTGTCATGTGGCTTGTATGTTGTGCTGCAAATGAAGTATGGCTTATTATATAGAAGGAAATAGAGATACCCTTATGTTTTTAGTGGTTAGTCGCTTTCAGATGGTCTTTTAGACTTTTATTCTCCCTTCCTATTCAATAGTACCTTGCATCTCTAGGAATTTTGTTTGTATGCATTGAGAATACCATTCAGCATAAGAAATAACAGAATTTGCCTCAGTCCCAAGAAATTAAGGAGGGGAAGCCAGTACTTGATAACGCTTGCAATAACTGTGTCCTATGTTTTGTTTTTAGTGTTAGAAGATGGAAGTGGTGCAGTTCTAGAAGTTGGTCGGATGATATTTGAGAAGGTTTCAAAGGGTCTGTCCAGCACTGATGGACTCAGCAATGTGGGCTCCTCTGTCCCTCTCTTGGTGGAGTCCAGTTGTTGTGGATACCATAAGGCTTCCTATTTCCTTGCAGTTATATTTGAAACAGGGCTTGGTGTGCCGGTGGATCATACAAAGGTAGTATATTTAATATGTTTGGTTATGTCTGTGAAATTAATTACCTTTAAAGGCAATTTAGATATGGGATGAATTCATGATCAATTGAATTAAAAGCTGTGTAATGGCCTCCAGATCCAGGCTGCAGTTGAAGGGGTTCCCCAATACCACTACTCCTAAATAGCCCAAGGGCAGTGAAGTCTTACGATGTCCTGATGGTGGGAATCTTTATCCTGCTCATGCAGAACAAGGAAATCAATGTTTTAGTAAGACCTAAAAATGGTGGTAAAGTGAACAGCATGGAACACAGTCACTTTTCCCAGTCACTGAGGAGGTAGGATGAGGTAGTAACCCTTGAGTCAGCCACATCTATTGATGAGTATGAAAAAAGTCTCATGTCAGGCAAATCTCTTAAAGTGGAAAGGTTGCATAGTACAGTCAGGAAAGCAGTCTCATTTTACAATGTGCAAAACAGTGGCACTGAGTGTATTATGGTCAAATGATGAAAGGTGACCAAAGTAAACCCTTTTCTTTTGGAAAAAAACTGGTCATGCTTCAGCTTACCAACTGCAGAGCTTGTGAACTCCTGACCTTTTAGGCAGGTTGCAAATAACTGGAATGTTTCCATGTGATTCCATTGCAAGGTCAAATAAAGGGGAGGTGTTTATATATCACTGGAAGAGGGCTGCACTGAAACTGCCAACAGATATTTAATTGTGATGTAATGGTATCATATAAAATGCTCATAAAGAATAGATCTGCCTAATGTGGTTACAGGATACTAAATCAGAAAAAACCCTGAGAGGCCGATCTGAGACCAAGCTCACTGTATTTTCTGAAACACAAGAAACCTTAGACAGGAGCCTTTTATATACCTTAATTATGGAGTATATCTAGTGCTAATTTTGGAGGCTAAGTAATTCCATTATTGGATCTGCTTCAGATATTGTAGGAAATAATTTAATATCCAGCACAGATGGGACACCACTGTTTTTATTACTGTGCAGGTGAAAAATAACAGTAGCGCTGAAAATTATTTTGGCAAATGTGCAGGTACCTAGACTATGTCTGGCACTAATTAACAGGTATCTTAAGGGAGCTTTCTGCTGAAACCTTGTCAGCCACAAGTCACATCCTTCTAGTTCTGTCAGATCCTTAGGGCAAGATTTTCAAGTGTTGTTCATTAACTTCCAGATGTTTCCACTGAATTCAGTGTGAAAACTCTGGTTGACATCAGTGAGACTAGTTAAGGCACTGCTGAGTATAGAAAGTGTCAGAGTATAATTAACACTGTCATAAGGTGGGTTTAAAAGTTGCTGCAGACCTAGTGGTGGCAGAGTAAGTGCAATACTTGAAAAGTGTTTAGAGAGTCTAGTTTTTCTTTCAAATCTTTATGTATAGAAGATGTTTTAACTACTTTAGGACTGTGCTTGATTCTGTAACTGTGTTTACATGGTATAGCTAGTCTATCAGCTATATAGTTCACTATAAATCTCCACCAAAGTGCTAAGCTTGTGAGATGTGCACTGAATTTACTCTTCTTTGTGTCTATTGATTTTTGCCAGGGATTGCTGTATAGTTTGGTTGGTGCTCAGGGGAATGAGAGACTTGCTGTGATGAATCTTGGCTATAAGCATTACCAAGGCATTTATAACTATCCACTTGATTTGGAGCTGTCATATGCTTATTACAGTAATATTGCAATAAAGACATCATTGGATCAACACACTATAAAAGGGGAACAGGTAAAAGAGTTAAAAGTGTGTCTGAACTCATTTTCTGTGCAATTGATTTCATATATTAATATTAATTACAAATTGATTTACAAATACTAGCTCGTCTGATTGATGTCCCTGCCCATGGCAGGAGTGTTGGACTAAGTGATCCTTAAAGGTCCCTTCCAATCCAAACTGTTCTATGATTCTATGAGTGTTACAAAATCTTGCAAATTTTAAGTAGGTACCATTACTCTGTTTCTTGGTAAGGGGAAAAACAAATCAAAGTTCGGCTCAGAGACTCAGAATTGTTCACATGCCTGTCTTTCAGTAAAGTCTAAGTCTCGTTCTTGGATTCTAATACCTCACTCAGATTTTTAATTATTAATATAATTGGATGTGTTTACTAAGAAACTGATCTGCTGTTTCAGTAGCCAAACATCGTAAAGTTCATAGAAAAGATGAATTGTCCTCTCCATACTTACACTTTTCTATAATCAAATTGAAAGTTTTGACTGTTAAGTAGCTATCTGATGAGATAAAGTTACAGTAAAACGATTTTAGAATGAGCTGCTAAACAGGAGGCAACACAAATTTATCTGTAAAGAGTACTGTAGGTAGGCCAGTATTAGGATCCTGGCTTATCAGAAAGAATGATTATTGTACAAAAAATAGAGAAATTTTGCTTACTAAAGAACTAAAATCAGCATACAGCACCTAGATATGAGAGCTGTAGGGCAGGTCTTCATCAAGCTTTCTGCCAGCCTCTTTTTATCTTTGAAGAGAGATTTCTATAGAAACCAAAAAGCTTTAAAAGGCTTAAAAGCATTTATTTGCCATAAGTTCGTTTAAAACTACAAAGGTGTGGGGAAAGGATGCTCAGTTATTGATGCCTTGGCATATCTTTCCAGACTTTCAAGATTTGTGCTGTAACGAAGCAGTAAGTGATTTTACGCTGCATGTAAGGATGGATCTTAATGCACTGGCCAGTAGAGGGGTGGTGGGAATTTTAAACTCCAGAACTGATCTTAAAATTTTCAGGATAAACAGGAAATGGGAAACATTTTCCTTTTAGTGGCCGATGTATGAATTCATTGTGTAATCATTTTTTTTTCTGTTCACCTGCTCTTCAGGCATTTGTTGAAACTATAAGGCTGATGGATGATGAACTGCTAAAAGCTCAAACAAAAGAAAACGGTGATGTCTTTATGTGGTTAAAACATGAAGCAACAAGAGGAAACGCAGCTGCACAGGTACAAAGTAATACATTTCACTTTCTTGGTTTTATACACACATCAGGTATGTATATAGACTATGTAGGAAAGTTGTGGAGGACAGTGAAGTGGACAGACGTTTTCTTCTTCCACCCAGAACTGCTTCTTTTCATGAGCTTAAACTATTTCCCATGTTTCTGTCTAATAATATCCAGTGACTGTGCAAAAAGCTGTAACAATGGTTAGGGTTGGAAGGGACCTTAAGATCATCCAGTTCCAACCCCCCTGCCATGGGCAGGGACACCTCACCCTAGACAACGTCACCCAAGGCTTTGTCCAACCTGGCCTTGAACACTGCCAGGGATGGAGCATTCACCACTTCTTTGGGCAACCTGTTCAAGTTCCTCACTACCAATGATGCAAGGCAAAAGGGAATTGTTGTCAAGACTTAGCAACCTCCTTCTGTGATCGTTTTCCCTGGCTTTGTATTTGACATGGTGCAGTTATTGCTGCTTATCTGAGACCAGCAGCAATATGTCGTAATACTGAGCCATTGCATACATCAAATCTGCCTATATCACTTAACCTCTGTGCTTAAATCAAGCCAGACTTCCATGGTACTGACAGCTGTAAAAAATAGCCTTGCTGTAGATTTAATATCAGTACATTTCACCACTGGGAAGCCCTCTGAATATTCATGATAATCAATTGTTTTCAAACTGTTGAGGATTTCTAACTAGTTTTTTCACACATTTGCAGGCTTAAATGGATTTTACAAGTCTGCTCCTACAGTTCCATACTAGCATTTATAACATAAGAGTTTATGTTGTTTTCTTCTAGCAACGATTGGCTCAGATGCTGTTTTGGGGCCAACAAGGAGTGGCAAAGAATCCTGAAGCTGCAATAGAATGGTATGCAAAGGGTGCAATAGAAACAGAAGATCCAGTGTTAATATATGATTATGCCATTGTGTTATTTAAGGTAAGTCATGTTTCATAGTTCCGCTTTAAAAAAGTCATTCCTGTGAGATGGATGTTTGTAAGTTATCTGCAGTGACTCACTGTGAGAGGGTATACTAATGCTTTTAGATTTGCTCTGAAAATCAATCAATAGTTATGAAACTAGTATTGATTTTTGTCTTATATGCACAGCATTTTTAAAAAGAGTAAGTTAGAAGCAGTTTAATCACTTTGTTCCTACCCAGATTCAGGATCAAAATACCACCTAAATTGTGGATCCTAATTTTTCCTAATGGCTTGTCACCTCAAAATTATAACCTGGTAGTGGGCATAGACCTTGGAGTAGCGATGTAGGTGAAAGTTTGATCCTTTCTCAGAATGGCCTTTAGTAGACCATTCTGAGACTGCGACACTTGGGTTTTTTAAGTTTTTTGAGTGGGAATTAAATAGTCTCTGCGTGCAGTTAGTTTTTCCCCGCTAGAAGCAGTAGACAGCAGAGGCTAAACTCAGGCATAACTCCACCTGAACCACGTAAGTTGAATTAGCTAAGCAGCATCACCCATAACATGTTCAACAGTACTGGAGGTTAGAGATAATAGTGAAGAACCATTAGGTCTTTGTCTCATTCTTTTGGCTGTAGAGGGCTGTTCTCTACCAAATGCTTGCTTAAGTTTTGCTTGTGTTTATTCTGACCTCTCATAGTCTGTTTGACCCATGTCTGGAATTAATTTCTATGGGTAATCATCAGCATGACATCTGTGTATTTCCTCTCGAGGCACCCTGACATCCTTTTTCAGGAAAGATGAGAGCTCTTACTCATTGCCAAATTGTGAACAATCTATGCACCTTGGAATGCTAATCATTCTTTCTTAGCTGCTGAAAATGAAAAGAGCTGTGATATTATTTACCCATAAAAATCACTTGGATCAACTGGTGAAATATTTTTTCCTAGACTGAATCATTGAGATTCTGAATAATACCTAGTAAATAACAGTATCAACTTTAAAATGCGTTTTCAATGTGTATATGTGAATTTTCACTAGCTCGTATTCTGTATTTGTAAATTTTCTGTATTTTTAAATTTTCTGTATTTGTAAATTGTTCCACATACTCATTTCCTAGGGCCAAGGTGTGAAAAAGAATACAAAACTTGCTTTGGAATTAATGAAGAAGGCAGCGGCCAAGGTAAAATGTAATCAATATTTTATTGTAAAAGTCCTACACCAGATGCTACTAATAATGAACTCTGATTTATATAAAATGCCTGTTGCCATAATTCTGTGTAAACATGGTTGTTTCTCACAGTGTCTTCACTGTGAATGGTGAAAGCCTTATTTCCCCAAATTAGGAGACTAAACCACTCAAAATCAGCCAAGACTTCCATGGAAGAAAAAGAATTCTCGCTACTTACATCTTTTTGAACATGATATTTAAGTGACTTACAGAGTGAATAGTTGATCCAGAAGTATGGTTTTGCCTCATGTTCCCAAGTATTTTCTTCCAGACCATACTAGGTATGTTTTTCACAGGGGTGCCTACCAGGACTTGAAATTTTGACATGGTGATCTCTCCAGAGTCAGGTAGAGATAACTGCTGTCTTTGAATATCCATGCCAGCAGGCTTTGCTATAACAACAGTGTCTTTAAGTTGTAAAGTGGATGAAAAGGACTGAAGGCTGAGGTCTGGATTGTACTTGCACAGTCTGCACTGAGTGATGATGCATTCCGGCAGCACAAGAGCTGAATGCAGAAGAACGGTGGTTTCCTGTCCCACCACTCTGGAGCTGTGGTGGTTTATGGCTAGTTCTCTCTGCTTAGAATTAGAACCCCTCCAGGAATGCTGGTGACTGGAAAAAGACTGTATGTGCTCTCCCTGGCCAGCTCTTCCCTACTTCAGATAGCAGACTTGGACGTCTCAAAGCTGGCCGTTTTTTCCATAGCAGGGCCACCACAGAGGAGAGGAGCCTCAATTCATTTAATGATCTAGTACAGTCAGATTACCCAGGCCATGATCTGGTCCTTAGAATAAAAATATAAGAGCATCTAGACCTTCCTAGCTCTTAGAACCAGAACTAGTGAAATTAACTGACAATGATGATAGGGCTTCATTGCTGACCACCATCAGAAAAGAATTGTGCCTGTTCTCTCATTCCTTTGAAACAGGAGGGACTACCTGTTCTACTGCCTGTTTAGGAAAGGCATGAGTAAATTGATTGGCTTTCACAGTGTGATCAAAATTCCCTTGTCTCAGGATCTGAGGAACAGATTCCAGGAAGCATCCTAGAGACAGTAATTTCCTTGCTGTCCTTGAACACTGTTACTTAGGGTTTTATGCTCTGGTGCAAATGTTCTATGCAAAAATAGCATCATAATTATCGAAAAGTTTAACTGCTTTTGCATTTTAATGGATAAGTTAGTAACATGGTTTAAATCTGAAAGGAATATATTTCCAGAGGGCCTTTGTAAAGTGCCAGTAGTATACAGTTCTTTCTATAGAGATTACAGAAGGAGACTGTAGTGTAGAAGCCAGCAGTAACAAGCAAATAACTTGCATTTGTGCACTGAGATTTTTTTATGTAGTTTTTACCTTATGTCACTCTTCTGATTCTTGGCTGTTATTAAACATAGATTATAAAATAGGAGTAAATAGCATGTTTGGGTGTATTGGTAGAGAGTAATTTGAACTGCTGGCAGACTTAACAGCCACCATATGACCCACCAGTTTGTGCAAGGAGACGGTGACTCATTGCAACCAAAATAAAATCTGTCCGAGGAGGACTTTCTTGGTCCATAGCTATTGGTGCAAAGATGCAACTTAGTGATAGCGTGTAACACTACCTTAAGCAGACCTGGATGATATTGGTCAAATATGTTTTGAAAACAGCATCACAAAGTTCTCTGTTCATTGGTTCCTAGTCATTCTTATGGAAATATTCTGGTTTAAAAGAAGGGGTTTTTGATTGCTAATCCTGTCAGCCAGGTTCTGTGAGTTCACAAGAATAGATGTCCTGGTTTGGGTTTGTAGAGAAAACGGGCGAAAAATTCATTTTTTTTCTTGTCCACAAGTACAAATCTGAATGCAAACACACCTAAGACTCTGTAGAATGAGACCACACTGGAGTCTTAATCCTTGTGCTCACTATGAGGACACAAGGAAGAATAATGTGAAAGAAAAGACAGCTAACCTTTATATCCCTTAGTCCCAGATGAGTATAATTTTGGCTGGATCCTTGTGCCAGGCATCTAGAATCTAGGCAAGGTCACGGGAGCACCCAAAGATGAGCAGCAGGTAGGAATTGCAAAGTGACCGAAAGCAGAATCAAATGTGTGACCTGAGACCTCTCTTCTCCTTCCCTAAGGGCTTGCCCCAGGCAGTGAATGGATTGGGATGGTATTACCACAATTTTAAAAGAGACTACAGAAAAGCAGCTGAACACTGGTTAGTTGCTGAAGAATTGGGAAATCCAGATGCATCATACAACCTTGGAGTCCTTTATTTAGATGGGATTTACCCTGGAGTACCTGGTAGAAATCAGGTGAGTAAATATCTAATAGTACCATTTCTTACATTAGGACCCAGTTTAGATTTTTTTGCTTTGTTCTTGAGACTGCTGTGTTCACTCTGAGTTGGATTTTGATACCTTTTATCACAAACAAGGGTGTTACTGGGGAATTCAGTCATATTACTTAGGGAGAGACATTACACAAATATCTTGGTCACACTTACATCTGTGTTTGTGTTCCTTAATTTAGAAACAAAGCAGGTGCAGGTTTAACTCCAGGGACTGCCTCTGCTTTCCTCCTTCCAGTGACAGCACCAGGATGGTGCATGCTCTCACATTGTGTGATCCTTTCGGGTTCTCTCAGCTTTAGATTGGAAAGTGTATAGGGAAAAGTTGCTTTCCACAATAGATGAAAGCAGCAGAACCTTGTCCCTGAATTTGTGAACAACTATGCTACATTTGTATTTCTTCTGTGAACCTCAGAACTGCAGAGAAAGTCCTTCAAGCCAGACTTGCAGATGTAACTATTAATACTGTCCTGGGAGACTGCAGTATTTTTGCTTGTTGTTCTGTGACACAGCGCATTTATTAAATTTTCTCACTCATGTGCAAAATTAATTTTCCTCTAATAGGAAAGGTCTACTTAGGTTATATTTCTTTAACTAACTAGGTAGTTTACAACCAACAGCACAAACATAATAAGGTAGGCTGTAATAGATGCAAAGAGACCTTGTGCTTGGAGCTAAAATAAGTTTCCAGTATGGCCTGTGAGTTCTGAGATCTGGATACACTCCAGACTGAGCATTTCTGCTGCCTGCCAACAGCAGCAGTGCTTGCCAGCGTGTGCATTTGGCAAGCACATTTTCCTTCCCTAGGGACAAAAATACCCATTTCAGAGTGGCTGATTGTAAGAGTACACCTAAAGCGCCCTGGTTTCTTTATTCACTGAAGCCATGAGCAAGGAGAAGTACATTGTTATGGCTGTGGTGGATACTCTGAAGTCCACACTCACTCACAAAAAACGTACATCGATGGTTAAAAATTTCCTGAAATAAATTATTTAAGGCTGTATGCTGCTCTGGTTTGTATTACAGATTACTGTTTCTGAGGGTGAAACATGGAGAGTCACACAGCCCGCCCGCTTCTGCAGCTCTGGCCCTGCCTACTCAGCTTGTATTATCTTCTATGAGCCAGTTTCAGAGGCTTGAGCAGTGTGCTTGGGCACTGCTGGACATACTGAGCATTGCTGCTGTTCCCCAGCCTTCACTTAGGCATGAAGTCTGCTCTCCAGGATCCCTTTTTAACCTCCCTACTAGTGAATAACTAATTTTACTTTTGTCAGTGCACACAAGACTTGTATGCTACCAGGTGTTACTTATGCATTTAGGCACTTTTTATTTGATATTCCATATATTACCAGAACTTATGTTTTTAAAAACCTTTCTTGAGCCTCAACTGTTAAAAAGTTAGAAAAAAGGAATTCATTTCATCTAAGTACGTTAAAAGTAGTTAAACTGGCTTGCCTTCATTAGCCAATTGCCTCTTGCAATTCATTTAATGAAATAAGTCCCCAGAAATGAAACTCAATAAACATTAATAATGCAGAGTTGCTAATTGTGCCTTGTTTCTTCACAGACAGTTGCTGCACGCTATTTCTATAAAGCTGCCCAAGGAGGACATATAGAAGGGACTTTACGATGCTCTCTGTATTACATCACGGGAAATATGGAAGACTTTCCTAGAGATCCAGAAAAAGCTGTAATGTAAGGAATGAAACCATTTGTTAAAGGAGAATATATTTCTGGTGGGATTATTTTGGTTATTGGTGATTTTTAAGTCTAAATAGCTTGTGCTCCATGCTGATTACCTCCTCAACGAAAGGTTCTTTGGCAGTAAAGTTTGATCCATATGAATATGTGTATTATTTAAATCACCAGTAGCTTTTGACAGGTGCTGAGTAGTTCTAGCACTATCTTTTTCCAGAACAACTCTGAGAGGTTCTATCTATCATCTAACAAAGCCAGGTTTACTTGAGTTTCAAGGAATACCAGGCTCATGATGTGGTAGAACTGGCATTTTCCATCAAGAAAAAGGCAGATAATTAGTTATAGCGCTTACTAACTTAGGTTTGTTTTCTTAAAAAAAAAAAAAAAAAGTAATAATGCCAAGTCAAAAAAGCATAGGTCTCTGATATCCTCATGGAGATGAATGAACAAAATGTTCTCATTCAGTCAACAGTTGCAAGATTGATGGAGCAATTATTGTGAAATCCCATAGTCTGTCTTATGGAAGAAGTCAAAAGGTGATCCCATATCCTTTTGTGTTCATTGAGTCAGTGTGAGTTGCAATAACATTACTGGAGCACAGCTGTTTATTTTTCATTGTTTGTTCTTTTCTACAGCTGGGCAAAACACATTGCAGAGAAGAATGGCTACTTAGGTCATGTCATCAGAAAAGCTCTCAATGCTTATCTGGAACTTTCATGGTATGTTTGTTCTATTCTCTTCAAGTTCATTTTCTATTTTCACTTTATAGCATGATAAAATAATTAACATTGGGCCATTATTTCAAAAAACCCACAAACAGCAGCACCACTGAAATCAGTAGCAAAACACTCATTAACATAAAAGGAAAGAGGAGTGACCCAAAGCATAATTCAACAGTTCTGACAAAATCAAGTGAAAAAGAGGGAGTTTGTAGAGGGAAATAGTGTATCCGCTGCTTGTGATTTTCATCCCGTAGTATTGTAGCATGTAATGTGCACTGGATTAGCCAGAGGAATGCCTTTTGCTTTTAATATTCCCTCTGTTCCAAAAACCATATTTTGCTTTCTCTCTTCTGTCTAATACCATGTCATGAAAACTCAGGATGCTGGTTTGTGTTTGTTCTTTTTTCATATATGGGTAATACTGTCTTTTCTGTAAAGTATAATAGGAGGCTCCAATATCCAGTGAGCGAACCAACAGGTTTCAAAGTAGCCTCCAGGTTAATGCTCCATTTCTGCAGTGACCTGTAGGCATGAGCATCAGATACTGTATACACAGGCATCAGACTGTCATACATGATTAAGACAACAGCTTGTATAGTCCTGCAGCCTTCCCCTGCTAGTTCTTAATTAGTGCTTCAGGCTTACAAGGTCTACAAGAAACTGTCAGTGCACTGTTCTGTAGTAACTGAGACTTCACCTCACTTTTCAGCACTGAACAACTCTTGGTTAATACTTTTGTAGCATGTTCTGATATACATGCCTGTGTACTCTGCATACAGCCCCGTCAAAGTCCTGTGCACGTTGCAGAGCATTAAGAACCCAGAACGTCTGATCCCAACAGCTAGGAGGAAAAATCTGCTGGAGTCTCACTTGAGATGCCAGTGATGAGGAGCGTATGAGTACTTACTTACAGATACTGGTCCCAGTCATCTCTGGTTTGAGGAGTATGTTCATGTTGAAAACTTTGGTCCTGAGTATTTCTTCATGTATCTTGCATAGATGTAAATTGTTGCAGTGCCAAGCAGACCAAACAGTATGTATGTTCCTTGGTTGCTGGTGTCAGCAGGCCACGTGTTCTACACACCTGTTAGACATGGTGGTTTGATCCTCAATGGCTGATTTAAAGTCCTTAAATGTAGAGTTTTTTTCTAAATTGCCATTTGAGACTTAAGGATCAGAAGAACTAACTTCCCAGCTTAGATATCCTGAATTTATTCTGTGGTGCCAGGGTACAGGGCAAGTACAAGGAATAATTTGTAATCTTGAAGAAGCAGCTGGGGAGCAGGAGTTTACACCTGCTGATTCTGTAAAGGTAACTGCTTTTGCAATTTCATTTGAAGTTTCTTTGCTTAAGCACCTACTCTTGAAGTCAAATGTGGTTTTAACCATACTTGCTACCTGTTTGTGGAGAGAATCACTCAAAGCATGACCCTTTAATAGGAAGTGTTAGTAGGAAAAAAGTTCACCAAGTGTTTTTTTTCTTCTTGTAATTTTAAAGACTTCCTCTTAATTTCGAATATTTATTCATAATACTGAGTAGATGAGGGACAGAGAACATGAAAGAGGTTCTCTACTCTGGAGCACACACAAGCAGTGCTGTACCACTGCACCACAATAATGAATTGCTATACTGCAAATGCAAAATGAGCTTTTATTACTTGCTTTACAGTCACAGACATAAAAGGGTAAAGAATACCAAAGTACTCGGTTGAGTGATTGGCAGATATATACACACACAACTAAGTGAATTATGTGGTTTTTTAAGTGGAGGAGGTAAGAGTCCTTTAAGAATATTTTATCTGAAATATTTAAATAGGTAATTGGCCTTAATGTCAAATCAACTTTATCATCAATGCCCACTGGAGCCAATCTAGCGTCAATGCAAGAGAGAAACCTGCAAATCCTTGAGATCCAGCATGGTTTGTTACACCAAGCATTGCCTGTAGGTGTAGCTGTTGCATGGGCTTCCCAGCCTCTTGCTTTTTGAAACCTTGTACCAGAATTTTGCTCTTAGGTGATTCTATCGATTTATTGCGTGTGGTTTTTTTAACTTTAAGTAAAACACATGTTATTTTTGTTACGTTTTTCACTAATTTTTTTTGTCTAATGTTAGGCATGAAGCTTTGTTGCATTACATTTTAGCAGCTGAAACTGGGATTGAAGTGTCACAGTCCAATTTAGCACACATCTGTGAAGAAAGACCAGTAAGTAAATGTATTCACAACTAAAAGGAACACTTGTTACTGATAATGTGATCCTAATCTCTTATCTGTGATATGAATGGATCAATTATTTTCTTTCCAGGACCTAGCAAGGAAATACCTAGCAACTGATTGTGTTTGGAGATATTATAATTTCTCTGTTTCTCAAGTCAATGCACCATCATTTGGTATGTATAAGGAATTCTTTCTGAATTTTAATTTTACCTTTTGTTTGTTTGTTGCATCTTCTATGTGAGCGAGCAAGTTAAGGGACGACTAATCTCTGCTTATCATACATTTCCTTTTTAGTGTTTTGATAGGAATATTGGGGAAAAAAGTATTCTAAGTGTTGAATTTCAGCACAGTTTTTCTAAGAACTTCCTTTTTATGGCATTAAATTGATAAAATATGAATAAAATGACATAATAAAAAGCTAAGCCCTGAGAAGGGGTTGGATATTTACGAGCCTGAGCAGTTGACTCAAGGTTTAAGAAAAAAAAATGAAAAGGAGTATACTTTACAAGCTCATGTTGTTTAGTTTATCAAAGCCAAAATCCAAAAGCAAATATACTTCCATATCATAATTGAGTCATGAGAAACTGATGAAGGCTAAAGTATCCCTTATCTAATTTATTACGAGTTTTTCTGCTAAGGTACAGAGTTTATCAGCATTGGCACAGGATTCTCTGTTTTGTAAAAAGCACGTGAAAAGTAGTGTGTAAAAATAATTCAGGCTACTAATTTAAGTACACAGCAGTGCAGAAACTGAATATCACATTGGTGCAGCCTGAAGCCACAGGAGCTGGCAAACCCTGTTAGCTCTTGTGAGGAGTTTGTAGATGCCTTGGCAAGGTGCACTTTGGTTGACCCTTTGGCAGATTCAATGGTACAACATTAGAGAAGCTTCTGAGCGTCAGACTGATTCAAGTAAAGGAGAGAAGATTTGCTGGGTTCAACAGGGGAAGAATTTTATTACTTTATGTCTTTCTCACATGAATAACATAGGAGAATTTTATCTCTGACTCCTCCCTGCAGTAGTGGAGGATCAAATCACCAGGGCAGGGCCTGGGTTGGAGAGTCTAACCCTGGAGGATTGATTTCCAGGCCTACTTTATCAGTGCAGCTCACCAGGGCTGGAATGATGCAGTTGGTACAGTGGAGGAGAACTCTCTTCTTGGTGATTCACTACAGTGTTCTTGGCCTTCCACTCTGCCTTTGTGCCAGCCCATCCATGTAGTCTTTTTGCCTCTGTTGTTGGGCTAGTGACCAGCTTGCTTCCTGGAAGAACTCTGCTATAGGCCACTGTAAAAACATGTGGGATTTCCAAGTAGCTCCTGTAGGCACAGAAGGCAAGGTATAGAAATTATTCAAACCATTTGAGGAATTCTTAGGTCAGATAAACGTAGACATGGTCGTGGGAGTTTTTAAACTCCTCAGCATAGATTAGTGCAACGTCGTGCTTTCTCTTGTCTGGGTCAATACCCACCCTGTCGAAGCATTCAGTTACTGTGCAATACCACAAGAAGGTGTTTGTAAAGTAGTTCCTGGGCACTGCTTCCTTCTAGAACAGGATAATTCTATAGCTACGGTTGTCCTGAGTTGGGTTGGATTTGAAACTAACAAAATTATCATTAGCAAAGTACCGTAACTTTGGGGACAGGTTCAGCCACTATAGTGACAGGGACAGAACACTCAGACAGCATGTTTTTGAGTCTCATCAAGTTAGTGGGGCTAACCTGAATAATAAGGTTACAGGTTGCCCAAAGACAGATTCAGCAAGTGAAGAAGGAATGTAGTATAAAGTCTCTATGTCTCAGTTTTTGTAAGAATACAGTATCATTCATTCAGCCAGTCAAGAGAAACCATGAGAAGTTTTATCCAGGGTATTTTCAGTGGGCAGGCTGATGTAAAGTAGCCACAGAGACAGCTAAAGAGTGGAATTACTATTACCTTCTCGATCACATTAATAGTTGGTTAATTCTATTTCCACAAATACTCTCAATGATCTGCTACTCGTTTCTTTGACAGCTTATTTGAAGATGGGTGATTTCTACTACTATGGTTACCAGAACCAGTCCAAAGACCTCGAGCTCTCCATGCGGATGTATGCACAAGCTGCATTAGAAGGAGATTCACAGGTAGGTCTGCAGTCATAATGTGTTTATAACACATCAGAGCTTAGAACAGTCTGAAGATTTATCTGAGACTGCTTATTCTGCTTGGCTACATCTGCACTGAAGAAACCTGCTAGAGTAAGTTATAGTTACTTCAGAATTCTGTGTGAATCAGTAGTTGCTGTTTCATGATAACAGACGGTAAACCTAGCATAGATGGACAGTCCTAGGATTTGGTTGGTTTGTAGGCTAGAAGTTAATGGCCAAATTGAGTGCTATCTTACCTTGGCACAATTGATTCTGTTGTGACCTTGGTATTTTTGCTACTGCAGAGAGGAACAATTAATAGACTGCTGAGTTATATTCCAGTCCCATCCTCTGCTGTTTTAGGATGAAACAAGAAGACTGGCCCGTTTCTTTTGGAATACTGTGTGAATCCTAGGGTGAATTTTGTTCACTCCACCAACAAAAGCTTTGTCTTAAAATGCTTTATAATTCAAAGATACACCGTAGTACGTTACTAAAGACATGCAGTGTTACAACTCTGAATTTCCTGCCCTCAGATCTTCCTGAAGTGTCCTGGGTGCAATATTCTGTTCTCGCTGTCCCTATGCAATGTCCTCAGACCCTCTCTTGTATGTGAATTTATTAAATGTAACATAGTTGGGTTCTGTTTTGAGGGTGCTGGGACAAAACATTACTGCTAAACTACCAAAGATAAAAATAGATGCCTGAACTTTTAAAGTATGAAAACTAAAGCGATGAGGAATCTTGTAATACACCTCATGTATTCACCTTCATGGTTCTAAAGAGACAAAGAGGTGCCAAAGACTCATCCAAATAAGCAAAACTGTAAGATTAAGGACTTAGATTAAATCTATCTGGAGGAAATTTCTGCTCTCAGTTTCGCTATTTGGATTGCTGTTGATCTGTAAAGCTAGGTGGAGAGGAGTGAAACAGGAATCCATTTCTACTTTCAGTCTGTATTTCCCTAGTAGATAAAAGATTACAGTTTGATATGGTGGCTGTGTTTAAAGAACAATTAAAATAAGAAAGCTCAGATCTTTTTCCAGATGGTTTCTAAGAAAACTGTGTCACAACAAATGAATGCTAGTTATTTTGTATTTTAAGTATTTACCTGGGTTATGGTTAGGAGAGAAGGCTTTCATAATTACTCAGTGAAGATCACATTAAACTAAATGGATTTATAGAAGACAGTTATAATTATTTAGATACTTGATGCTTACAGTAGGCCTTAAATATACGTATGAAAATTTAATGGTTAAGAAGTGTGTATGCTTTTTTATTGTTAGGGTTTCTTTAATTTGGCCCTTGTCATAGAAGAGGGCAACTCCATACCTTCCTACATTCTGGATCACTTGGAAATTGATGAGGCATTGCATTCTAGTAGTATGTCACTTCTTCAGGAACTTTATTACAGGTGAGTCTATTTCCCTTTAATCAGCATCTTCTGATTTTCCATGTGAGTAGCATTTACTATGGAGAACAGCAACTCTTGTAATTATTAGCTTTATTCACTTGTATGATTTAAGGCAAGTTAAGGTCAACATGCTTGAAATGTTGAATTACCTAGATATTTCAGTTTATGCCTGTTAAAGAGACCTGATTATATGTGGTTACCTGAAATAGCAGGGACTGGATTTAATGATCCAGGAGGTGTTTTCCAATGTCCTTAATATATAATATTACATGTATAATTAATGTATTTAACTTCCTAAGATAAGCACTGACAATTTACATACAGTCCAAAACAATCTTGTAATGCTAAATAGGGCATAATTTAATACAGAACGTAAAAGTACATATCTGGGATAATAGCAGAGTCCTTCATATTTACTCTGCAAAGACATTCCAGCACAGGCTGAGAAAGTTGGGGCTGTTCAGCCTGGAGAAGAGAAGGCTGCGTGGAGACCTCATAGCAGCCTTCCAGTATCTGAAGGGGGCCTACAAGGATGCTGGGGAGGGACTCTTCATTAGGGACTCTAGTGGTAGGACAAGGGGTAATGGCTTTAAACTTAAACAGGGGAAGTTTAGGTTAGACATAAGGAAGAAGTTCTTCACAGTGAGGGTGGTGAGGCACTGGAATGGGTTACGCAAGGAAGTTGTGAATGCTCCAACCCTGGAGGTGTTCAAGGCCAGGCTGGACAGAGCCTTGGGTGACATAGTTTAGTGTGTGGTATCCTTGCTCATGGCAGGGGGGTTGGAGCAGATGATCTTAAGGTCCTTTCCAACCCTAACTATTCTGTGATTCTATGATTCTGTGATTCTGTGTGGCACAGAATATTAGATAGGGTAGAAGGTTCTCAGTCTGCTGCCTGAACTGCCTGTGCCAGCACTGTTCATGCATGAACCACCTAGAGACCTCTGGTTCCAGTGCAGAACTTGGGTCTCATTTACCTGGGTAGAGCAGCATGTGTTGGAAAGCAAAGTGGGAATGGGAAGCTTACAAAATACTTGGTAGATTCATGGAACTACCTTTCAGATATTTAAAGAAGGAGAAGCTAAAGATGAGGCTGTGAGCCAAAAGTGAGTGATATTTTCTCAGTTTTGCTACTGAGTGTTGTGTAATCCCAAATAAAGTGGAGAAGATACCAACGTCAAAACCTCATTTGTCAATTCACCAACAACCCACTGACATTGTTCTTCACTGCAGTTAGCCTGAACTTGTACCCTAAATTACCTCCACTCCACATGAAATTACTAATCAGATAATTAGGGCTTCTGGACCAGTTGGTCCATCTGGGATTTTAAACTTGAGCCTGAATTTTGCCTTCACTTGGGCTGAATCTGTCTGCTTTGCAGTGAGAGTAATTCCAGAGTGGACAGTGCTGCAGGGTTTTCCCACCATCTTACACTTCTGTCCAGAAGGGCATATCATTTAAAAAAAAAAAAAAAAAAAGTCACACAATTTTATGTACAAATTATATATATTTATATAAATTTGACATGTATTTTCTATATAAAATCTAATATGAAAAAATTTAGTGTCTATATACACACACCTCACCCCTCCCTCCTCAGCTTAGTAGAAGAGATTCAATTGCAGCTTAAAAACAGGTGCCTGTGATTTAGCTGTCTAAACACCCTTAGTAGGTGAAGTCTTAATGGATAGGACTGAGAAAGCTGCTCACTCAGCTCACCCCACAACAGATATCTTGTAGCTGCTCCAGCTACAGCACTCTGAGCTCTGACTGCACTGTGTGGCACTCCATTGTCTCTAAAGGGGGTTTAGGCACCAGCAGCCCACATAGGATTAGATGTACAAAATTTAGTTGCCTAAGTCAAGTCCTGCTGCTGTTGACTTACAATAGTTAGAAGGATGTAGAAGTTAGAAGCAAGAATCTTGGGTACGGCCTTGCACTGTGACTGCTTGACAAGAGTAGTCTGGATGCTTAGACCCATTGCTGACTAATAAGAAAGTAAAAAATATGCTACTAGGATAAGGTATTCTGTGCTTAATGAGGTTCACCTGGTATATCTATGAATTTTCACTTCACTGTGAGATAGTGATGGTAATATCTGGTTGTTTTTCCGGGTTGCTGAGGTTTGCTGCAAACCCACTGAGGATTCCAAGTGCCACAAAATGGTAGAGGACTAATTAGTTGTTTCAATCTTCTTCTTGTAGGTGCTGGAATAATAGTAACCAAGAATCAATTAGTCCGTGCTCATTGGCATTGCTTTATTTTTACATGAGAGTTTTCTGGAACAATATTTTACATTCTACTTTGGTATGTATTGCTCCTTTGGTACATGCAGAGTTCAGTTGGAGCAGAACCTTGGCTTTGCACTGCTGTAATTATGTTTTTCATCTTACTGTCACAGATCTACTTCATGGGAACCTTTCTTTTATCAATTCTGGTTGCATTTGCAGTGCAGTATTTTCAGTCTTTATCTGGTAAGTATTTGTCACAGTAAAACTGAAGAAAAAGGAGTGATCTTTTTATTTCAGTAAAATCTTCAAAAATAAAAGCAGGAGTCCTACGTTGGGTAGAGGTATCTCTGAAAAGCAACTTTTGTCACTCGAATCATCTTTTGATCATTGAAAAGGGGTGGATGAAGCAAGGCACAGGTTTAAAGCTCTTGCTTTCTGGGGAATGTCCCTTGATAAAGGAGTCTTAATAAAAGCATAACAGCAGGAGATTGTGACTGTAAATAAGAGATTATTTCCCAGCATGCAGTATTGTTAGAGTAATTATATGACCAATTTCATATATGGTCTCTCCAATATGCAGTGAGACTGTGTTCCCTGTTTTGTATAACTGGATCCATTCAAATACAATGTGGGAGAAGAAGTGAGGTACAGAGAGCTGGTAAATTGGAATAACAGGAGGAGGCAGTTCAGCCTCTTCAGATCAGTAACAGAATCAGTAAATACATTCAATCAGCACTTGCAGACTCCTCCTGTCCTAAAATAGAAAGTTTTGCTGTATGCTGTCTTTTCTGAGGGGACAGAGAATATTAAGAGACAGAAAACCAAATGCCATACTTAAGTCTATTAAAACTCTCAATTATTCCTTTTTTACCATATTGAAGGATATATCAGAGACAAAACTACATTGCTCAGGAAAGGGGAAAAAAAACTCCACCATTCCATGCAAAAATAACGAGTTGTCATTTAAAAATTAGTGCCAGCTTCAACCAAGTGTTTCAGTTCAGATTGCAAGACAGGATGTTGATGGGGAAGTTGTGAAAAGAATATTTCCAGTTATGAAAATAATTTCTTCCAGTAAATAAATTTTCTTAGGTCCAGGAGACAGCTTAATGTTATTCAGAAAATACTACTTGCTAACATATTTCTGTAATAAAATACAGAAAAAGTTACTTTCCACGTTGACAACCTACACCTGTAGGGAATAGTACTTAAAATGACCCCCAAAACAAAAAACCAGTAAATATAAAAAGATTACTTGGATTCTGTAATTCCTAGATAGCACCTAAGATATATAGCTGTGAATAATATGTTGACTAATTATGAAACCCTGCTTTCTTTTCTTACCAGCTATGATTTATGGAAGTTGGGAATCATACTAGAGATATACAAAGTATACAGTTAGTTATTACTCTTTCAGTATTTCCTAACCTTTGAATGTTATCCTTATATATGATTTTTGTATACACATAATATTTAAATATTTATAAATATACTTCCTAGATGCAGTGGGGTCTTTTTTAATAATTTCTTTTGATGTTTTTCCAAAGCCCGTAATTCTCCTGGAGCAAGAGCAGAACCATCGTCAGATGAACCTTCTTCCTCAGGGAGTAACAATGAGGATGCTACCACACTCATACAGCAAGATGAATCTTCATTTTTAAATAATTTAGCACAGCAGGAGTCAAACGCTCAGAATCCTCTTGTTACAAGCTGAAGTGTAGTTTTCTTGGGATTGGTTTCCCATTGGCAAGATGGGATATGAACAACTGCAAATCTAAAAACTGGCAGCCAACACTATTAGTGGCATTAATAATGCAGTCCAACAGCTAAAATTACAGGGAAATTCGCTGATATGATTTCTCTACTATAGAGGAAAACCATCCCTATAATTTAACACTCCAAACAGATAACACAGATTATTTCACTGTACCCAATACATGATCATACTGTAATTTATTGAAGGACTTGAAGAAAACATGCAAAATCTTTGCCTAATCAAAGAATGAACAAACCTCCCAGCAGTTTTGATGATGAAGAATTTTTACTCACATAGCTAATGTCTTATGAAATTGACTTTACTGCATTTGAGCATATTTTACTAATGAAGTTAAAGAGTTTTCCAAGTTGGAAGCATGAAAATTACATAAAAGTGAAACCCAGCCATCAACACTTTCAAAGGGCCGTGGCACACCAGCCAAGACTGTGGTACATGCAATAACAATTAGGGATTTGGCATTTTATATTCTGTCTCAACTCTTAGATGGCAAAAGCATTTTATTTTGAAAGAAAAACATCAGGGAGATTTGCAGTATGATCATAACACAGGATTTCTGCTGACTGATCCTTGGGCAAAGTTTCACAAGTTTCAGCAGTACCCTGGTCAACAAAACAAACTCTTTGTGGCCCTTCTGAGAGCCACCAATCAGACAAAGTAACTTCCCTAATGAATAAATACAAGAATATTTAAGTGTGAACAGGAGACACCTCACAAAGTGGGTGAACAATTTATTTTTGGATTCTTCCATAGATGACATTGGCAAGGATTTATTTCATGTTCTGCAGTAGCTCTTAAAGACACCTATTTAAGTGACAGTTTATTTGATAAATTTTAGATGGAATATGTGGGTAATAAGTACAGAGTGCAAATGCCTTCTGTCTGACTTAAAACTTATTTAAGTGGCTCTAGGAAAAGGTCTGACCCTTAAAGCAGGTGTGCTTGCACCTCTGCAAAATGTAGATCACAGGCTATAAATTGCACCAATCTATGCATTATTGAGGGTTAAATCCACTCTTCTTGCACTACATTATTTACTCTTGTAAATAAAAATATTTTTCTAATTCAGCTTGTATGTGGAGGGTTTTTTTTAAAGCACCTCTCAGATGGGATAGCATCTTGCTGATGCAAATTCTCAAGAACAATATTTAGGTGTCTGTTTTCTTGGCTTCACATGGGAACAATCAACTCTTGCTTTTTTTTTTTTGAGGAATACAGCATTCTTACAGAACTGGAAGAGTTTTTGTTGGTTTTCAAGCAAGACATAGGAGTTTTCAATAAGAAAGGAATGGATTAAAAGGAAAAAGTCTCCAAACAGCACGAGAGATTAATATATGCATATACACACACACATATCAGGGTATGTTTCACTTCCAGAAAAGTGGAAATTCAGGTGTGTTCTTTTTATGTATAACTGATTATTTGGAAGTGTTACAAAGGAGCTTCACTTTTACATACTAAACTGTTGTTGGCTTTCAGGGATTATATGCTGTGCTTTTGGTATCTACTGCAAATGAGTCACCATCATTTTTGAGTCTGTGTTGAGTTGCAAAACCTTGTGCAGCTGAACTTGATTCAAAATTTCTTAACACAAATGTAAGGGTATTTCATATTTTTTTCACCTGATAAAGGACAACTGTGCATTTGTATGAAAATAGGCAGGTTTAGATGGTAAGTCCAAATACTTTGCAGAAAGTTAAGTGTAGCCTTTGCAGGCAAGTAGACAGGTGTCACAGCATCAGCATGATGTTAGGTACCCAGCAGTTAGATGGTCACAAAAAAAACTATTTGGACATTCATATGGTAAATATTGCTTGTAGTAAGCTGTATGTGCAAGATGTATTTTACTACATATATTGTATGTAGATAGAAAAATTGAGGCTTCTAGTTAAATATTAATCCCATGGGAGTTTGTCAGTTATGGTATAATCACAACCCATGTGTTGAAATCATAAAGCAGCAGTGGTTTAGGTTGTGCACATGCAGGTCAAAGTTAAGTGTTAGCAGTCAGGCTGACTGCATTTTCCTCTCCAAAGTAAGCCCGTGTTCTCAACTTTAGTAATTAACTCATTTGAGGAGGTTTGCCAGAAACATGATTTCACATCTGTATTTCAGAAGACAATTACTGAAGCTGCAATGCATTTCTTGACGCCAGCAGTTAATAGTTAGGTCTTTGTTTATTGTTATCTATTACAACAGAAGTTCTGCCAAAGTAAACTTAAAGTATGTTAAGATAAGCAACTCTTCACAATAAACTGGCAATACTTAAGGCTGAAGTAATAATAGTTACATTATTATCCTTCACTTCTTTCAAGATCTAGGGGGCTATTACTTGACAGCCTAGAGAATCAAACAGTTCCCAGAGAGAAAGAGGATGGTTAGTTAAGCAAAGCAGCTACATAGTTCTACTACATCCACAAGGAAGTAAAAATAAGGAGGGGAGAATGAGGAAGAGGGACAGATTACCAATAACTATTTTTGTAAATTGAAACAAGGCCACTGAAGCTCATAGTTTCTGCAGTCCGTGCTGAGGGGTCAGCATGGGAGTGAGGAAATAATAAATCACAAGTAGACAGCTAAAATGCTGCTTGTTTATACACATTTCATAGAAGCCCAGCTGTCTGAACAACACAGTTAGTGCTTAAGGCAGTGTAAGTGGTGGCCATTTTTCTCTTTCTCACTTGGTTCAGCCCAGAATCATCTTCAGCAAATAAATTAGAGACAACAAAGAATTTCAGACCAGTTACCTTAACAATAGGCACCAGTTATCTAAAAATAGAATGATAGAATGGTTTGGGTATGAAAGAATTTGAAGATCATTTATTTCCAACCCCTGTGCCATTCTTCCTTATATCTAATCTAAACTTTCCCTGTTTCAGTTTGAAGCCATTACCCCTTGTCCTACCACTACAGTCCCTGATGAAGAGTCCCTCTCCAGTATCCTAGTTGTTAACACCAACTAAGTAAGCGGATGTGTGTTACAGGAAGTGACAAGAGTGAGAAGTTATTACATACAGTGTAATGTATGTACTGAGTGAGTGAGAATTAGATACCAACCACAGATTGGGAAGGGGAGGTAGGTAAAGGTAAGCTTAAAGAAAGGCAGTGTTGAGTAGTCCTGGGTGGTTAACGACTTTAAAGTTACGCAGTAGGCGATTCAAACCAGTTTCGCAGAATTTGCAACTATGCCAAAAAGTTTGTTCAGCTTTGAATTACATAGCAGGGTAGCAGCAGGACAGACCAGAATGTGGGCATCCTTACATGGGTGACTTTGTGACCACTGTCCAGTGCTGCTTTCCAGTCCGTATAGTGACATAACATTACATCCCAATATACTGGCATGAGTGTGTGCTTAGAGTTATATATTAATACCTTGCAACAGAAATTTTATTCAGTGATAAAAGAGCAAATACATGGAAGTTAGTCTTGGCATACTATATAAGCATTCCCTTTGTTGGGACTTCTGTATGCGCATTTGAGCTACTGGGAAAGCATAGGTGGTCTTTAAAAGCATGTGGGAAACATGGATTATCTGTGAAGAGATTTGTTTTATAGCAGGTTCTTGTCTGTGTAAGCTGTCCCCATTGACTGATGGACTCTGACATTTAACACTGGTTGACTGTTGACCCTTATCCTAGATGAAATAAAGCACAAAGGTATGAAACAGGTTGAATAAGCTTTGGCTGAGGAATTCCACCCACACACCCTCTCCTCCCTCCCATAAATGCACCAAGTGCATCAAAAGACCGGGATGTACAAAGAGAACAAAGAAAAAAGAAAGAGCTGGAATTTTCTTAAAAGAAGGCCAAGCATAAGGAAGGACAAGGAGAGTCTGGGCATGGAGCAATTTCCTACACTGTCTTGTGAGCTCTAGGTGACGGGAGCAATTCCTGAATAACCAAGAGAACACTGTAAATGAAGAAAAAGCAACTACTGGGATATAGATGTGCTGGAAACACGTCACAGCTTGGATGTTTATGAATTGATTCCAATGCCAGAAGGCCAAATAATTTATTTACAGTAAAAGTAACAGTGAGTCTATGCCTAAATAGAAAGTATCTGTGTTAAAAGCTGCTGCATACAGACCAGAGAGCATCAAAACTGGAAAAGGTTTGGAGTAATGAGTAACCAAAATGGAAACGAAAAGATCACTTCCACAATTGCAGTACATGCTTATGTTACAGCAAGCGTTAGATGTGTGTGCAGAAAAGAAAAACACGAAACAAAACCCACCAAAAAACCCCAAAGAAAAACCTCAACCATCTGCAGTAGATTAGATATTCTGAAGCACTGAGGTTCTGAACTTAAATTGCGCCAGTGCTATGTGCCTATTGGCTTAAGTGACTTGGTTGTTTGGTAGGTGCTATCAGATACCCATCTACCTTTGGGCATCCTAATGACCCCTTAGAAGAAAACTGGCTGCAACAGGTTCATTTATAACTCTGTGTTTGGTGATCTTTCTTTCTGCTAACGTACTCCTTGACCTTGCTTCCCTCCCCAGTTTATGTTTTCCAGTTGCTGTTGTTCTCCTTCGTTTGTCCCCATTGACCTCTCCTTAACCACTCATTAGCCTTCTAGATAGCTCCTAAAACTCAGCATTGCTATTTGCTCTTATCAGTTCTGTCAGGTGAACAGGAGAAAGCACAAGTCCATTAGCAGAGCCTAGCACTGTTTTATGACAGTTCACCAAAGCAGGAACTGAGATACATGCACAGCATTTTCTATCTGTTCATTAATGGCATGGTCTGAGCCATGGATTTACACAACCGGTATCTTTAATTGTGTAAGTTAGAAGCAAATCTCACTGGCTAGATTCGTATTAATATGAAGGCCAGGCTCTGCTATCTGGCTGTGAATAGTTAAACTCTTCCTGGGAATACGGTTGCCTCATGTACTACTTGTTTGAACCAGTCCTGGTCCATAAAACCCCCAGATGGTGC